GTTTGTTTGTGTTCTATTTTCTCAAGTTAGATATTTAAATTCATATAACTTACCTTCACTTGGTATTTCTTAATTTCAACGTCTTATGTAAAGTGTATTTGTTTGTGTTCTGTTTTCTCAAGTTAGATATTTAAATTCAGATAACTCACCTGCACTTGGTATTTCTCTACTTCAACATCTTATGTAAAGTGTGTTTGTTTGTTTTCTGTTTTCTCAAGTTAGATATTTAAATTCAGATAACTCACCTGCACTTGGTATTTCTCTGTTTCAACAACATATGTAAAATGTGTTTGTTTGTGTTCTGTTTTCTCAAGTTAGATATTTAAATTCAGATAACTCACCTTCACTTGGTATTTCTCTGTCTCAACATCATATGTAAAATGTGTTTGTTTGTGTTCTGTTTTTTCAAGTTAGATATTTAAATTCAGATAACTCACCTTCACTTGGTATTTCTCTGTCTCAAAATCATATGTAAAGTGTGTTTGTTTATGTTCTGTTTTCTCAAATTAGATATTAAAATTCAGATAACACACCTGCACTTGGTATTTCTCTGTTTCAACATCATATGTAGAGTTCAATATCTTCATAGAATGGCAATCATTAGTGAAATAGATTAACATAAATGCTACAATGGTTGTAACCGTGCACACAACAACTACTTCCAACATTTTTGATAGTCTGTTATTTATAAACCTAGAAAATGGAAATAGAATCTAAGTTATTTATGGACTACCTAAACCTAAGAAGCAAATGGCCAACAGCATTTTGTTAAAAATGAGAGGGCCACAAAACTTCTTTCCCGTCATTATGTTCATATATGTAACCATGGTAATCAGAACAGAGGACGTGGTGAGAATAGAACACTATATTTACAATATGTTTTAGCGCATTAAAGCAAATAAATGTTTCTTCACATTACTATAGTGCATGTCATTCTTAGTAGTGATGTTTAGTGTGAAATATCACTATAATGAAATATCACTATAATGAAATATTACTATAAATGAAATATCACTATAATGAAATATCACTATAAATGAAATATCACTATAATGAAATATCACTATAAATGAAATATCACTATAATGAAATATCACTATAATGAAATATTACTATAAATGAAATATCACTATAATGAAATATCACTATAAATGAAATATCACTATAATGAAATATCACTATAATGAAATATTACTATAAATGAAATATCACTATAATGAAATATTACTATAAATGAAATATCACTATAATGAAATATCACTATAAATGAAATATCACTATAAATGAAATATCACTATAATGAAATATTACTATAAATGAAATATCACTATAATGAAATATCACTATAAATGAAATATCACTATAAATGAAATATCACTATAATGAAATATTACTATAAATGAAATATCACTATAAATGAACTTTCACACTGAACATTGTGATGCGCATGATTAACATCATCTGTTTTGTTTGCTCGAACAGTGTGCAGACATTTTTTTATCACTGCGGTTTGAGAATTTCAGACTTGATAATGACTCGCATATAATATAGTATATAAGTATACTATTAAGTATATCTCTTTAAAATCAGGATTTCTGTCGTTTTGATTCTTGGAGTTGGTCATGTGACAAAAAGGCTATCACCTGATATCACTTATTCGTAGAACTGGTTGATGCATTATGGGATGTTTTCCACTCACTTTCATTTTGATCAAAATATACTCGTATAACCAGCTTCACAAACAAGTAATATCAGATAACAGCTTCAAATATCACATAATATATCACATAAATGTTATATACGTAAACATTAAATCATATAAATATGTTATATTGTAATATTTTTATATCACATAAATGGGCATTAAACATCATATGTTATAACATATCACATAAAAATGTGTTATATCATTTAAATATATTATATCACTTAAGTATGTGTTATATCGCATATGTGTTATATCGCATAAATATGAGTAATACCACATAAACATAGTTGAACTCTGGCGACCTTGCCCTTTGTTATATAATATAATTCCCTTTATCATAGTTTGTTTTAATATAAATATGCAGTGTCATAATTAATTTTGAATACAAACAAGTTTTGGGGTTGAACCAACAGTGGGGAATCAGTCTACCGAATGTACTTAAAAGATGTAAATATCTTACAAAAACATTGGTGCCATATTTGTTTAATTATTTTAAGGGACATAATTTCCAGCTTTATTCAAAGTAATTCAGATATTTTAGTATAAAAAAAAATGTCTCATTGCAAAAAAAAAAGTGCTGCATTTAGATGTGAATAGATTCATAAAACATGCAAGATAACAGAAAATTTTAGCTGGTG